ATTTCCTTCTAAATGTATGAGGCCATTTACCTGTCCCCTCCATCCTTTGTGCTATATTTGTGATATATTTTACTTCTACATATTATAAACCTATCTTACATTATTATCATTTTTGCTTTTCTTATATTGTTATTACTTTTGCTTTAAAGAGTTTATTCTAAGAAAGTCACAAGAATAAAAAATAAATAGCTTGTTTTTTGGACAGCAAAGGAAACCATAAACAAACTATATGCATGTTATATGATTTGTTACTGTCTTGCAGGTCCCTGATATTTTGTTTAGTTTTTTCAATATTTTTTCTGTCTGTTCTTCAAATTAACTAATTTCCCTGGCTTTTCTGCTGCCATCTCTGTTCTCATTAGATCATAGCAAGAGTACATAATATTAGCAGAATGATTTATCACTGATAGTGTTAATCATGATCATTTAGCTAAGGTAGTATTTGTCAGATTTCTCCACTGTAGTTATCTTTTCCCCTCTTCCTTACTATATTCTTTGGAAGCAAGTCACTAAGTGCAGTCCACACTTTTCTTTTTTTTTTCAAAAGAAGGAAACAAGAAACAAATAGAAAAAAATTTTATTGGCAGAGTAAGAATTAACATATCAATAATTACCTTAAACATAAAACCTCCTAGAACTAGTAAGTGAATTCAGCAAGGTTGCAGAATACAAGATAAACATACAAAAATCAAATCTATTTCTATGTACTAGCAATGACCATGTGGTAACTGAAATTAAAAATGAAATACCATTTACAATAGTGCACACACAAAAATAAAATATTTGCATATGAATCTAGCAGAACACATATGGGACTGGTAGTTGAATGCTGATGAAAGACTATCTAAATAAATGGAGAGACATACCATGTTTATGGATTGGAATATTCTACATAGTAAAGATGTCAGTTCTTCCCAGATTGATATACAGGCTTAACATAATTCCTATCAAAACCCCAGCAAGATTTTTTGTAGATTATTCTAAAATTTATACGAAATGGCAAAGGAACTAGAATAGCTAAAACAGTTTTGGAAAACAGGACTGATATTAAGTCTACTTGATTTCCAGACTTATTATATAGCTACAATAATTAAGACTGTGCAATATTGGTGGAGGGATAGACATACAAATCAGTGGAACAGAATAGAGAACCCAGAAATAGGCCCACACTAATACGCTTAAGTGGTTTTTAATAAAGGTGTAAAAGCAATTCAATGGAGGAGAGATAGCCTTCTCAACAAATGGTGCTGGAGCAAGTAGGCATTCATGGGCAAAACAAAACAAACAAAACTTTAAACTTGCAACCTAAGTCATATTTTATACAGAAATTAATTCAAGATAAATTCTGAACTTAAGTGTAAACATAGAATTATAAAACTTGTAGAAAAAATTCCTCATGATCTAGACAAAAAGCTTTTAGACCTGATACTAAAAGGAAGACTCATAAGAGAAAAAGTGGATAAGTTGGATTTTATCAAAATTAACAAATTTTAACAGGAAAAATCCTGTTAAAAGGATGAAAAGACAAGCAATAGAATGAGAAAATATTTGCAAAGCCTATATCCAGCAAAGGACTAGTACCTAGAATACATACAGAACTCTAAAACTAAACAGTAAAAAAGCAAACAATTCAATTAGAAAATGGACAAAAAACATGAACGGCTATTTCACCAAGGAAGATGTACAGATGGCAAATAAGATGTGAAAAGATGTATAATATAATTGATCATCAGGAAATGCAAATTTAAACCACAATCAAATATACCTATAAACCTGTAAGAATGGCCAAATAAAAAATAGTGACAATGCTAAATTTCTGTGAGCATGACGAGAAACTAGTATCTTATACATTGCTGGTGGGAATATAAAATGATATAGCCACTTCGGAAAACAGTTTAGCAATTTCTTATAAAACTAATGTATAAGTATCATACAATTCAGCAATCTGGGTATTTGTCCCAGGGAAATGTAGACTTATGTTCACACAAAAATCTGTACATGAATCCTAATAGTAGTGTGAGGGAATATTGTTTTCTTTCTATCCTCAGAATAGTCAGCTTGATACTGCTGATCACCAAATGTAGGGGAAAGGGGTTCCTTCCCCAAGCAATTCAGCGACACCAGCTTGGTGTCTTCCAACTCAGTTCAGTTTTGACACTATCTACCTGGCATTAGCATCAGATCCCACAGGTTAAAGACTCAGTCCCACAAGACTTTCCCCTTGACACCTCTGAAGCCAATCACAATTTCAGGTTGTTATCTGTACTTCTGACTGACTGACTACTGGTTCAATTAATTTATTATAGAAGCTCATATAGTACTCAGGAAAATAGTTTACTTACTAGACTACTGGTTTATTATAAAAAGATATAGCCCAGGAATAGCCAGATAGAAGAGATACATAAGGCAAGGTGTGTGGGAAGGGGTGCAGAGCTTCCATGCCCTCTGTGGGTGTACCTCCCTCCCAGCACTTCCACGTGTTCACCAACCTGGAAGCTCCCTAAACCCCATCCTTTTGGGTTTTTATGGAAGCTTCACAGCATGTGCACAATTGATTAAATCATGGGATATTGGTGATTGATTCAATCTCCAGCTCCTCGCCCCTCCTCAGAAGTCTAGGGGAAGGGCTGAAAGTTTCAACCCTCTAATGATGTGGTTGGTTCCCCTGGCTCAGGAGTGGTTGAAAGAGACTTGTTATATGCATAATGAAAGACACCTTTATGTCTCTTATCACTTAGGAAATTTCAAGAGTTTAGGAGCTCAGTATCAGAAAAGAGGATGAAGATCAAATACATATTTCTTATTATAAATCACAATATGACAAGTAGCTTTATTCCTAATAGCCCAAAACTGGAAACAACCCACTTGTCCTCAGTTAATGAGTGGTCAAACTGTGGTACATCCATAGTATGGAATACTACTCAGCAATGAAAAGGAATGAGCTATTGATAACAACAACCTGATGACTCTCCAGATAATTCTCTGGAGTGAAAAAAGCCAATTCCAAAAGATTACATACTATTTGATTCCATTATATAATATTTCTTGAAATGACAAAATTATGGAAATGGAAAACACACGTGTGGTTGTCAAAGATTAAGGAAGAAGTGTGTCTATAAAAGGACAACATGAGAAATTCTTGTGGTGATAGAAATGTTCTGTATCTTGACTATGTTAGTGTCCAGTGCCCTGGTGTGATATTATACTAGAGTTCTGTAAAATGTTACCATTGGAGGAAATTGGAAGATAATCTGCAATTATCTTAAAATATAAAGTTTAAGAAGAACTATATCTGCTTGAATTTATTGGGGATCTAGCAAAGTAGTTATGGTAAATTTTAAAATGACTACAAATTCCTCCTATTCACAACCTTTTACATGGTGACAGTGCTGCTTCTTCCATTGAGGGATGAGGATCTATGTTTCCATCCTTTGAAACTGGGATGAAGAGTCTATTTCTGATGTGCATTGACCAACAGAACACTAGCAAACATGATGCAAGCAGAAGTTTGTAAGCACTTGTTCATTAGGACTTACTCTTTTTGCTGAACTTAGAACCCTGAAACCATAATATGAATGGGCCTGAGCTAGCCAACTGGAGAGTCCGTATGGAGGAGAACCAAAGCTCCCTGTCCAACTGCCTGCAAACTGCCAGGGATATGAATGAGTTAGCATCAGAATGAAAAATTTCTCTCATCAACTAGTGGATTACCTTGAAGTAAAATTTGTATGGAGAAGGAAAATTAAATGCTTAATTCATTCCTTTATTTACCAGTTCTTGGAATCATGAATTAGTGTCCTAGTGTGGTGAATTTGTATTGAGTTAACCTTGCTAAGCTAGCACTATGTTTCTCAGATTTCCCTCCCTGCAGAATTCAGGTTAGTGTGCACTACAGTAGACATTTTGTACCAGACTTGGAAGGCAGAAGTGTAGTAGCAGCCATATGTAATTTTTTGTCCACAGGGTTCTCCACAACAAAAGTCAAGGAAGGGGACCATGCAGCTTATCCACATTGTTGTTTACCTGCTGCCTAAGCTTATCTGTGTGGGCCAGGAGCCAGGCCTGTGGCTACTCTAGATCCTACCAGATGTTCCTCAGCTTCTCTAACTCCTGGACTAGAGGTATATTTAACTCCATGATGAAGGCTTACTTTAAGCGAAGTCTAATTTCCAATCCTGTCTCCTTCTTCTCCTTATTGGAAACCATTTTTACTAGTTCTTGATTTATCCTTCCATTGTTAAAAGTGTAAGCAAATTTATCTATCTATCTATTAATCAAACATCATCAAAGCTTGAGGCTTGGAGGTAGTGAAAGATTGATGTGGGTGCCATTTTATCTTAGCTCCATCACCTCATGTCCACCTTCCCTCCCCACCTGCCTGCCTGTGGACTTCAGGCTCCAGCAGCTGACTTGGAAGCAATAGCCATTTGGAGAGCATAACCAACTCCCACAACTGAGTATGGTTAATTCCCTATGATAAATCCTTATTATAAATATCTTCTGGTGGGTTCTGCCTCTTTGATTGAACTCTGACAGATATATCTAGAAACTTCCAAAGTAACCAATGATTTTTTAAAATAACTAATGAATTTATGGTTGGGACTTCTGATTTCA